AAAAAAAAAAAAAAAAAAAAAAAAAAGAAGAAGAAGAAGAAAGGAAAGAAGGAAAGAAACTGAAATTTATCTCAATAGTTCTGTGCCCAGTTCACTGTCATGTGTACATAGTATTCACCTTACAGTGATCCCACCATAAGAATGACAGCTTTATGTTTCTGTTTACAATAATTTTTTATAGTTCTCCTTTAGGACCTTCTCATATGAGATATGATATCTATTCTTTCATTTGCTCCCAGAGCACCAGTATCACCGGTCATTTTTATGCAAACTCACAGTTCTTTCCATTTTATCCAAGATACCTTTAAGCTTTTGTCTCCTTTATTTCTTAATTCCATCCCCATTTGACGACCATAGTTATTTTCCACAGAGATTTCCAAATATAGGTGCTAACCAAAGATTTCTAGAGGACTCTAACTTACAGGTGTAATATCTGTAACACCTGTAGATACTAGCTCTCCCCTAGTGGATAGTGGAGCTCTGGTTGGACTGTGGTCTTATATAATGTGTGATATGTTTTGCTTGTTGTAGAATTCCCATGATGTTAAGTAGTTACTGCTTTCTAAGCTTGTTGGATAAATGTACAACAAATATTAAAGCTTTTCCAATCACCTTTATTCACTAACTCGGCATGGTCAGTGAAACAGATTGTGGTATTTAAGCTACTCAACTTCTCTCTTACAGAATTCATGTATTTTACAGACTACTCATTGTTGAAATAGTAATGGCTTCTTGTTCTAGTCCTCTGATTAGTGACCAGTCACTGTAGAATGTGTTCCTTCCATAGATGCTTAATCATTCTTTGAAGTACTCGGGGGGGTAGTGAAGGGGAGGGGTGTAACATGGGCTAGGAACTCTGATGTTTATTCAGTCAGATTAATTCTTTATATCTTAGGCCAGATAATTAATTTATGGAAAGTTTCTATAATTATGATTTGTTCTTATATCATCCAAATTGGTTGAAAGTTTTACATTAAAATCTATAATCCTTACCCAGCTGAGAGAATTTGTCAGGTTCACCCTTTGGTACAAATAATTAGCCCCATGCTAACCATAAATATACTAAATATAAAAAATGTTTTGCCTTATTTTTATTTTTGTCAAAGAAGAGATCTATCCCTTATTTTTTTTTTTTAGAGGTAAAATAAGAAACAGTAATCTGGGGGCGCCTGGGTGGCTCAGGGGGTTAGGCCGCTGCCTTCGGCTCGGGTCGTGGTCTCAGGGTCCTGGGATCGAGCCCCACATCGGGCTCTCTGCTCAGCAGGGAGCCTGCTTCCTCCTTTCTCTCTGCCTGCCTCTCTGCCTGCTTGTGATCTCTCTCTGTCAAATAAATAAATAAAATCTTTAAAAAAAAAAAAAGAAACAGTAATCTGATTTATATGATCATTTTTGTTCCTATCAGGTTTTCCCATATCTAGCATTGTTGATTCCCACCCACCCCCCTTTGGAAGTGGTATTAGGAAGCCGAGTGATTATGATTGTGTCTTCTGAAACTTTTAATTGTGGTCTGGCATTTAAATATGGTTAATTAGAAGCAGATTTATGTCACATTAATTCTTAAGTACTTTTTTAACCCAAATTTATGTGTTTGACCAAATGAATAGCAACAAATTTACCAAGATTTATCAAAAGCAAAAGCAAACCATTTAAACTATAAAAAGTTGGTGAGTAATTGACTAATAGAATAAGAGTTGTATATATACTTTAAATACAGTAGTATTGAAAAACATTTGTACTTACAATTTTCATGCAAGGAATGTAATTTGCCAGACATTTGAAGAAATCAGTAAGTTGAAGTACACCTTTGGTGGCTACAGACTGGCATGAGTCCATTCATTCATTTTCCTGACTGCATTAGAAGTTAGAACAATAAAATTGAGGAGAACTAACTGGCTTATAGAGGGTTTGAATTCATGGCCCTACCTCACACTTGAACACTGAAAATCATAAGCCTCTTAATTTTAGAAGTCAAGTCAGAATAGTTATTATAAGTAGAAGGGCAATAGTAATAGATCAGGGTGATGCTTTAATTAGTTTATAAATTTAATTTTGGAAGAACAGAGCTGGAAATTTTAGTATTTACTCTATTTCCTCTTGTTTTTAAACCTAATTTTTCTTTGTGGAAAGAGTGGAGGGTATTCCTTTTTAAGGGATATGCTTTTAAAGTTGAAGTATATGTTTTTCAGCACATTAATTGTTGGAGTACATTTCTTAGAGTATGTTTAATTTCAAAGAGCTGTTTTGATTTTGCTCAAGTGCCATATATTATTCAAAATCCAAAGGGATCAAAATGTTGGTTATATATCTGAGTGGTTTCTTTGGGTTGTATTTGAAGTACATTTGGAAATTTGATGTTTATAGGTGAAATCTTTTAATTTTTATATATGTTATTTATATCCATTGACTATAAGAATAAGTAAGAACCTCAAAAATTTGTTTTCACTGCTTCTAAGTACATAAGTACCCTTATTTGTTCTAAAATTACATTTATTTCTGATAATAATTTTCTCATATTGTATTTCAATTTTAGGCTAAAAATCTTATAGAGAGATTTTTTAATCAACAAGTAGAAGTTCTAGGCAGACGTGCAGAGCCATTGCCTGAAATATACTATATTGAAGGTACTCTCCAAATGGTTTGGATTAATCGCTGCTTTCCAGGGTATGGAATGAATACCCTGAAACATCCAAAATGTCCTGAATGCTGTGGTATGTAATGAACTGTAATTTCATGGTTTATATTTATGAAAACTCACTTCTTTTCATGATGCCTAAGTGAATGCCTATTATTTATTTTTACTGTCATTTAGATATATCTCTAGCTTATTTGAAGCAGTGTTTGAAAAGGCTATGTGAATTTGAAGATCTAAAAGGAAAAAAGCTGGCTTGATTTTGGCCTTTGTACTAACATTACGGTAAAGGGATGGTAGCATTAGGCAGTTGTCTGGGAGGAAGTTCAAAGAATAGGTGTGTCACCTAGAGCTACTTACCCTAGCAGGAGCCTAGTGATGTTATTGTTTAGAATCAGTTATTGACGAGTTTACATTTGTGTAGTCTAGAGGAGATATATTTTTGCCTTTTTGTAAATTAAGCACAGGAATTGTTCTATTACTGGTTGCTCTTTCTGACTTTTGATCCTTGCTCTAAGGAGTGTGAGCACTCTCTGCCTTTCATCTGTCTTTTCTGTTACAGAGTTCTACAGAGGCTGTTTAGGATGAGTTAATTCATGGATTCAGTGTCTTTGAATTTCTATTTTCTTTTTTTTTTTTTTTAAGATTTTATTTATTTGACAGAGAGAGAGAGATCACAAGTAGGTGGAGAGATAGGCAGAGAGAGAGAGAGAGGAGGAAGCAGGCTCCCCACTGAGCAGAGAGCCCGATACGGGGCTCGATCCCAGGACCCTGGGATCACGACCTGAGCTGAAGGCAGAGGCTTTAACCCACTGAGCCACCCAGGTGCCCCTGAATTTCTATTTTCAAAAGTTGAATGAGGCAGATAATCTTCAGTTTTATTTTTTTTTTATTTTCAGTTTGTAGTGTTCATTGACTCATTAGTTGCATATAACAGCCAGTGCTCATCACCACATGTGCCCTCCTTAATACCCATCACCTGGCTGCCCCATACCCCCACTTGCACCCCCTCTAAATCTTGTTTTAAAAGGCTAATATCAACGTCAATAAATTAGTACCATTGTCATTCAGTCTTCTCTGATTGTTCCTTTCCCCTCTCTTTCTACAATCTTAAGTTAGATCAAAATCCTTTTCATATAAGAGAGCACTAAATATTATTTTTGCTTTGCTTTATTTAATTGGCTAGATTTCACTTTAATGTTATTTTTTTCTTCAGTTCTGTCAGTACTTTAGGTTTTTTCTCTGATTTAGTTTTTGTTAAAGGATATGAAATTTGACAAAAACGTACTTGGAAACTTATCTTAGGAAATATGACACAGATGTAACAAAACACATGTGCCAATTTTAACTATTTTCATGATCTGTAATTATGTATATCACTTCAGAGCCCAGATAATGATGAAGAAAGCCTGGAAAACAAACAGTGAACCAGAACCTGGTAGTTTAACTGTCTATTAAATGAATTTATATTTTCACTTAATAAAGACCTAAGATAAACTAAAAAGTTTAAATGTTTATATCTCATTAATTCCAAGAATTTTGAAATAGTTAAGCATAGCTCTTTCAAATAAAATAACAGGATTCTCTGAGAAGCACAAAAATTTCACTACTAAAATTTTTGTGCATTTATAAGATTGTGGAGAATAATGCAGTTACCAGATTTTCTTGTTTTACCATGTAATTGTAACATTTGGTTTGTTATGCACTGTACTGTTCAATGAAGTTATTCATCAGTTATTTTACTCCTGACGACAGAGCCCATGGGGAGTATGTAATGAAACTTACAAGTCTCAAAAATATTTTCTGCCTACTATTTTGTTCTCCCAGAAACATGGTCTCTGCCCACCTCTGTCTGTTTAGAGACAGGAGAGAGTCATTCTTGGAACAGTTAAGGAACAAGAGGTCTGCTAATCTGCAGGGAAGAGAGTGAAAAGGAGATAATATTAAGGAAACTGAATTACAGATGGCCTGGGTCACAGGGGGTGTGGTTGAGATACTGCTTTGAAATGATGTTGGACTTGAGGTTGTCTTTGAAGGTGCAGGGGTAGCATTTACTTTCCAGGGTAGGGCCTGAAGGAGTGTCAGGTTTCTGGGAGAGTTTTGCATAACCTGGGCTAGAGGAGGAGTAGAGAAGAGCTGCGGGCTAGTGGGGCTTAGAGAGCGAAGTGGAATAGCTCAACTTTAATGTGGCAGCAGGAATCACATCTTTTGAGTAGAGGACAGAAATAAATTTATTTTTTGAATTTTATGAGATCATTATTGTTGCTCAGTATACTTATTAACTAGAGATTTGCTAAATTTCATCACATGCCATCATATGGTAAATATTTTAATTTAGAATTATCTTTGTGCTGTTATTGTCTGTTAGACGAATGAAGTGAGACTGAGCTCGCTTTTTGAACAGAAATCCGTTAAGTCTAATGTGACCGTCCTATACAGTGGTTTTTGTCTATATTATAGGAGGCCATCACTCAATTTTTAGAGAACATGTACTACCCAAAAAGACATTTAAATCATTCTTTGAATTGGAAGGCAATATAAAATATTTGCCACTGGTTATAGGACAAAATTAATGTATTAAATGAGCTTCATTTGAGCATAAATGGACTACTAGAAAGGAGCAAATAAAACCTAGGAGGTACTTTGTAAAACCACTTACTTCCAAAATGAAAACACCATGAGTTTATGTTTAGCAAAGGAGATTGGTCAGGACAGGAATGTTCATTATGTGAGAGAAGGTTATTTACTTTCTCAGCAGTAGGCAAAGTGAGTAGTGGCCTTGTCTTTTCTTTTGGATGGCTTATTTCACTCATGTAATTTTATTGTCCATGACAGATGAAGATTACTTGCTTATAAACTAGTGGAGCCTCCTACACTGTTGGTGGGAATGCAAGCTGGTGCAACCACTCTGGAGCCTTAACATTTCTACCTGTTCTTCCTCGTTTCTAATTTGTCTAACATTTTAAATTAATTTTCACTGTGAAATACTTCTTTAATTTCACATTTAGCATTGCTTATTATATGCATGATTTTGTCAATCATTTTGGCACTGAAAGAGAAGATTCTAATTAAATTGTGAATCATAGATGTCTCTTAATTTCATTAATTGTATCCTAAACATAATACAAAACCAAAGACCAGCTAGAGTATTATACTGTTTTCTGATAGAATTTTTTTTTTAAAACATAAGATTCTGAAATATTTCCTGGTAATTTCTGTAGTTTCTGTTATTTCTATATAACTCTGTATATCTTGTTTTTTATCTTTATTTTATTCTTATCACCTCAAAAAAAAAAAACCTGTATGTTAAATAACATTTTTTGACATAATAATCGCACTTCACCTTCTTTTTCTTCCTCTTTAAATTATTGCAGTAGTTTTAAAACTCTAATATGTGCCAAAATACCCAAAGATTTTTGTCAAAATAAATCAATGTATGGGAAGCAGACATCTACATTTCTAACAATTTTTTCTAGGTGATTCTAATATATGTGGAAGTTAGAGATTCCTGAGTGTTAGTGTGGGCACGGCAACAGCTGGTAAAGTGCTTTCCTCTTAGTGTTGGTCTGGTAATATCTCAGGGAAGTGCTTGAATAGTAGTAGCATTGGTAAGGCAGTACCTACATAATAAAACTTCCCTTCTACTAGTGAAACATTATTTTTCATGGACTTTTGAGGATTGAATGTGTAGTTTAGTAATAGTTTATGCAGTGTTGTTAATTTCTGTTGCTTTCTTTATACATAAGATTTGCTGTTGTACATTCAAATTTTGGGAATCCCAGGAAGACTCAAGAGCTCTTTGATAGTGGTATAGTGTCTGTGTGAGTGGTCAGAAATAACTAGGTTACAGGTTAGAGTATTTAAACATCTTGAGATGATTTTATTAATAAAGTGATTTTAGTAATAAAGTCCTTGTGTACTTTAATTATGCAGGGAAAGTGAATTGTTTAATAGATAAAGTTGCTTCTAAAAGCGCTCTTAGACTCTGAAATTTATTCTGCTTAGACATGCAAACCCTCAACCTTTGTTTTAATTTTAAATCCAAAAACCAAGAAAAATAATGATTAAAAAGAAAAAACTGATATTGAGAAAACACAGTTGAAGGCAAGAAGTCTCACTGTATACACAGAGGGCGTTACAGTATGATAAGAGGATAAATCTACCAAAGATGATAAAATAATATAATATTGCTAAATTTGTGAATGCTTAATAAATAACATGTTTTAAATACAAAAAACAAAAATTGTCAGAGAGGTAAAACTGGAATGCCAAGCCATATAGAAAAACAATGAAATTGGACCCAGTCAAAAATCACCTCCAGATGTGTTACAGACATAAATACATAAAGAAAAACTGTAAATATTTTAGAATATAATGTAGGAAAATATCATCGTGTCTTTAGGATCAGAAAAACAATTTCCAAAAAAAGCATAAAAATCACTAATTTTAATAAAGGATGATAATTTTTCTACTAAATTAAGTATTTCTGTTTATCAAGACAGTGCAGAGAGAGAAAAGATAATCCACAGAATGAGAAAATTTATTTGTAATGGAAATAACCAACAAAAGACTAGTACCCAGAGCATATAAATAAAGAACCTGTAAAAAAATTTTTTTAAAAAACCAAAACAATTTTTAAAAATGGGAAAAGAAATTTAACAAGTTTACTTCACAAAAGAATAATTCCAGATGATCAATGGATATGTGAAAATAGGTTCAAACTTTATGTAACTAGAGAAATGTGAATTAAAAACAGAATGAGATCCTACTGCCACAGCTGTGAAATTGGCAGAAAGTAAGCAGTTGTGACCAACTAGGTGTTGAAAAGGGTGCAGAGCTCCCAGGGAGCCGCCACACTCTGCCTGTCTGAATGGAGATCCTGCCACTTTGGAACACAGCTTGGCAGTGCAATAAATGCGCAGTGCACGCACTGTGTGACTAGCATTCAGCTCTTAGGGAAAGCTCATCTTAGTATATTTCCTAATAGCCCCAAACCAGAGGCAACCCAAATGTCCATTAATGGTAAAGCATATGAAGAAACAGTGATCTGTCCATACAATGGAATGCTTTACTAGGGTG